AGGATGAAGGTTCGCTGCGCCTGTACGATATGCTGCTCAAGATCCAGGAAGGAGTGGTCAGCGATGAGCCTTTCTCGCTGGTCACGAAGTGCGTCTCTAGCGAGGAAGACGAGAAGCACAAAGATGTCATGGTAACCGTCAAAGTGACGGTTTTCGCAGTGCATGACAAAGACGATTTCGTTAACGGTTTTGTCATCTTGGTCGACGATAAAAGCCGCACAGCGAACGTTGAGCATCAGTTAAGTGATGTGAAGAAGGAGGTTGAACAATTGATAAGCCAACTGATTCCTCTCAATTTCAACACAATTTTCAGAAACGAGGGCAACGACTTCGGCTACGTCATACCGAGCACGTTTGTCGTCATTGTCCACGTCAGCGGCATAGAGGAGTTCCTCGAGAAAAACTGGAGCGGTTATGGTGAAATTATTTCATCATTAGAAAATGAAGTGAAGAAGAATCCGCCGTTTATTTTCTTACAAACGGTTTACGATGTCATCTCGTTCATCAGCGGAATCATTGTCGACAAAGAGATGGGCGAGCTTGCGTCGATTTCGCATGATTTCGGACGAGCGCTTGTCAGAGTGCTGAATAAGAAGTTGCCCAGAAATAAGGGGAAGCGGTTTACGGTTTCTATCGCGTCAGGCGGGCCGCTGATTGCCGGATTCTTCAATTCGATTGACGCGTCATCTTGCAGAGTGTCAAACAACAACAGCAGCTCGATCAGCATCCAAAAGTTCCAGAACCACACAAACTTCTCGAGCTACAATTCAACAATGAACGGATTCGCGTCTTCAAACAATAACGGAACTGCGCCTTTAAGCGACGATTCGCTGATTTCTGACTTGGACACAATTCCGGTTTTCGACGTTTTGGGGAATTTGCTCGTGAAGGCAGCAAAGCTCGCAGTGAACGCTGACTCAGAGGATATAATCGTGTCATCTGATACTCGTGAATTATTGGGAAATGATAAATCAATCATTTTTGGTGACGGGCCTGTTATTGATGGCGAAAAAACTTACTTGATTCCATCAAATATACTTTGATGTTGTATGTTATTTATTTATTTTTATATAAAAGATATATATTTGTTGTATATTTATTATATTTTAAGTGAATGTTTTATGTATCCGTAGGTTGTTAGAGAATAATTATTGATTAATAAAAATGATGATGAAAACCTAAAAAAAATTGCGTTTAACATATTCTTTATATGACAGAAATGAAGAAATCAATTAAAAATGCACAGAATTTTTAATCATTTCTATGAAAAATTAAAATTAAAAAAATGACGATTATTTTCTTCTGAAAAAGTTGTACGTTTTATAAAGAATGCTTCCATAAAGTAAAAATATAATAGAAATTTCCTTAGAGTGTTAAAGAGTAAATGACATTTTAAATAACAAAATATGTTTACATTAATAGTTACCATGCATTTTTCATGCAAGTAATAAGCTAGTGTGTATTATTAAAATTGATTTGCTTGCTTTCTGCGAAAATAAAACATATGCATTTGAAGAATATAAGTATTTTTGGCAGCATTCTTGATTGTTCTTATGGCTTTTTGAAGCAACTGTTCAAATTGTTATAGAAATAACGATGATGAAAAATGCATTATTATTACCTGTTGATGCTATATCTTTAAATAAAAAATTTCTCCGAACGGGGCTGTTATATTTGAAATTTAGCTAGCCTCCATCCTGAACAACCACCGCTACTTTTGTCTAAAAAAATGCCATATCCAAAAGAAATCGGTGATAGTTTATATCTTTGAATCATCAAAATCCAAAAAGATGAATGATAATCTTTCCATTAAACTTTTTTACAAGAAAAAAATAAAGCAAAATTATTAGGAAAAGTATTTAAAGTAATAGAAATGATTTACATTACAAGATTTAAGAGATATTTTTATTCCAAAATATACTTTTCCGAATATTGCATTATTAGCATTATGGAATCATTTGGATGGAGAATTATTGAATAATCAAATGAGAAATACAATTTTTAATAAATATGAAAGACTTCACTATGTAAATTAGTTTTTGTCAAATCAAGGTAGAAACTATTTCTTAGTTGACGAAAACGGCTTTAATTTAAATATCACAAAATGAGTGGTACCGACATAACGAAGACACACGGCAGTTGTTCAGTATGCACAGAACGATGGGACACACATTTCTATATGCGCTTGTGTAAACAAAGATATAAGATTATTATATTCAAATTCCAAATGCCGAAGTTATAGGTGCAAATATTTTATTTTATTTTTAAATGAAATGATTTTTTTTTTTTTTTTTTTTTTTTTTTTTTTTCCATTGATCGTGCAATCTCTTCGAAATAATTGTTTACTTTTTATTTGATTTTCTGGAGGGCATTCCCAGGATCAAGAGATTCAGTTATATTTAGGGAGCTTTTCTCTTTTGTAACATTAGACCTTTCCCCATTAAGATCATGTGCAATCACACTATTTATATCATTTTTATATAACTTTTCTAATTCCAGAAGTTATAAAAGACTTTTCCTATAAAAGCTTTTGTAGCTATCGCTATCAGTTTTAAAAGCAAATTGGCGATCGTCGACTGAACAGAGCACTCAATTATTTGAATCATTTAATCACCATCCCAAACTATTTTTGAATAAATTATATTCTTATCGATCATCTTATAAACTTCGTTCCGCAATATCGGTTCTCGATTGAAACGAGTTTTTCTATATTTAATAAGTTTGTGCGCAAAAACCAAAATTAATTCAAGATTAAGGAAATTTTAATGATAACGAATGACCCGGTGAGTTCAGTTATTCAAGTCAGTCAGATGATCCAATTGAATGCTAGTTTGATGATTTTTTTTTTTAAAGAAGTATTATTCAGTAGGGTGCAAATGCTCAGAGACAGGAGCTCATTGAGTATCAATAAGCTGGAAATTCATTCATTGCCAATTTAAATCTAATAAAACGATAATTTTTTTTGCAAAGCCAAACTTTACCTGAGTAAGAACGATATCAATTTCTGCAACATGAAAAAATTTATTTAGATTGTCCATATTTATAAGTGGTTTCAAAAACGATAATCCACTTAGCAACGAGTTTTCATTGAAATGTTTTCAAAAAGTTAAACTTTTTATAAGAGGTGGATTATCTTTTTTGGAAGCACTTTAGAATAGTGAATATGCTTTTTTCATTTATCTTTTAATCAATGTATTTAAACTAATATTAAATTTGGAAAAGTCTTTAATATAATTTACATAAATTTCGCCAATAACGCATTTTTAGTATAAAAACTGTCTTTGAAATGAAAATTATCACATCTAGCGAAATCGTATCAGATTGTATTTTTTAACAGTTTATAAGCACAAAACAAAAGTTTGAATGAATAAGCTGTTCTACCCTCTTGAACTTTCAAAATGAATTTTTATATTTTTTAAGAGAACAATGCGTTTCTTAAAGTTGTTTGAAACTAAAAAAAAAAAAAAAAAAATTATTTATATCATATCAAATAAATTACAAATCTAATTTATATGAATTTATATTAATAAATACTTATAACCTTGTAAATTAACATTTATATTTTGTATATATTTATTAAAAAATACAAGATATGAATATTTTTTGTTTCAAAGATAAACGATAACTATTTGACCATCAAAAGGTGTATTTTTATACATCAAATCAAGATGCAAGATATGAGCACACTTTTTGCAGATGATAAATATATCAAATATGATTCAGTTCGCGAAGCCATGGAAGATGCAGGCGTCGTATTAACGCACAACAGCTCATCCTCAGTTCTGGTCTGGTTTGATTCACTGACAGATCGCCTCAAAATTTTTGACATTCCGCCATGGAAAGTGATCAACCGGATTCCTTTCATCAACATCCTCTGCCGAAAAGTTCCGTTTTCCATTGTCATTGCGAAAATCCGTCTTTTCTATCCGGACCTGTACTCGTTTTATCCGAAGACGTTTGTCATCCCGGACGAGGCCGACTCCTTCCTCGAAGCGCGGCGGAGTGGCGGCCCCGCGTACATCGTCAAGCCCGACGGCGGCTCGCTTGGCAAGGGCATCACGATCATCGAGGCAGAGCAAGAAAGTTTCTCCCTGCCGGCGGAGCCGTCGGTTGCGCAAGAGTACGTCGACTGCCTGCTTCTCGACAACACGAAGTTTGACCTGCGAATCTACGCGCTCGTTGCGTCTGTCACGCCGCTGCGCGTCTACGTCTACCGCGACGGCGTTGCGCGCTTCTGCTCAGAAGACGCGTCCCACAAGAGCGACTTTGCGCGCCTCACGAACGTCGGCCTCAACAGGAACAACTCTGGCGTCCGCGACGTGGGCCGGATCTCGCGGCTGGTCTCCGACGTCTTCCCCGCCCTCGAGGCGGCGGGCGTTGACATCACCTCACTTTGGCGTAAGATTGACCGGGTTGTCGCCCTGTCCGTCTTCGCTGCCTACGGCTACCTGAGGAGGGCCGAGGGGGCCTTCTGCCCGCGCGCGACGTACTCGCGCTGCTTCCAGGTTCTCGGGTTCGACATCCTGATCGACGAGCGGCAGGACCCGCGCGTGCTCGAGGTCAACTACAGGCCGAGCCTCGACTTCTACCGCGGGAAGGAGCGGCGGATGAAGGTGGCGATGATCAGAGACGCGATTCTTCTGGGCGCCCCGATGTCGCAGGTCCAGCAGCTGCTCAGCCTGAGGAGGTGGAGCTGGGGGCGGGTCTCGTGGCTCTCCCACGCGGCGAGCAACAAGAAGATCGCTCAGAGCGTCGATGAAGCGAGAAGAGCCGCAGAGAAAACGTCCGGCTTTGAGCTGGTGTGGCCGTCAGACGACGGCGACAAAAAAGACTGGCCGAGTGTGCTCAGAAAAGTCATCGAGATTTCTAAGGAGCCGCTATCGTCGTTTGTTGCGCCAGACAAAGACACAAAAGGCGGCGATGACAATTGACGGATCGCTGCCGTTTTTGTTTTGACCATGAATAAAACTTTTGTTTGGATTTCTAAAAAACACCAAGAATTCTCTTGGGAGGAGTCGAACCGCCATATCAAGCTTCAAGGGCCCATGTGATAAACCGTTACACTACAAGAGATTCCTGTTTATTTAGTTTAATATTTTAATATTACTTATATTTTAATTTGTTATAAATTTAATGAGTTTTTAAAAAATTCTCTTGGAAGGAGTCAAATCTCCATCTCCGGATTCAAAGTCCCATATGATAGCAGCTACACTACAAGTGACTCTCGATATCTGATAAATATTATTTATATTTACTTTGTATAAAAATAAATGAGTTTACAGAAATATATATATTGAACTAAGTACATTTAAATGATGCTTTAATATGGAAACTCAAATGAAATAAAATGCTCTAAACAAAACTCAAGCATCAAGTAATTATGTTAAATAAAAAAAAAACATTTATTTTGTAGTAGCCTTCACTAGAGCAAGATTAGTAGTGGAGCTATAGCTGGAATTAATATCGCATGCATTGCAGTTTCAACAAATAAAATAAAGGGCATATATTTTCTCAATTTCCATATTTATATACAAATTTTTATTTTTTGTGAAAAAATTTTCTGGTTTATTTGAAAAAGTTTGAAAGAAATCAAAATAATTAAATTTTTATATAAAAAATGCTTTTTGGAGTTGATTAAATTGAAAAACAAATAGGTTTAATTTGAATAGGTTGATCAAAATAGATTTAACTTTTTCAATGATAATAGAAAAAGTTAGGTTTGATCAAGATTTGAGAGATGATAAATTTTTTGAAAATTTTCTAATACAAAAATGAACTGATTTTATTTTTATTTTTTGCATTCTTAAGAATGCATGAGCCGCCAGATATTGATCCAGAAATTGATAAAAAAGGCTTAAGTTCAAAAAAAACTAAAAACAAATTTACTGAAAATGAAGATATCATAATCAAAAAATTTGTTGACGAATTTGGAGCTCATACTTGGGGAAGAATAACGCCTCTTCTTCCAGGACGAACTCCTCGTCAAGTTCGTGAAAGATGGGTTAATTATTTATCACCTGCAATTACACATGATCCTTGGACTAAAGAAGAAGATGAATTGATAATGAAACTTGTTGCAAATTTTGGCAAAAAATGGGCATACATATCACGTTCCTTCAATCAAAGAACTGATGTATCAATCAAAAATAGATATTTCCTTTTACAAAGAAGAGAAAAAAATGATATTCGAAAAACACTAATGTCACAATTATCAAAGAAAAAATTAAATCAACTTGAATCACAAATCAAAAACAATTTGCCTCCAACAAAATCTCCAACAGTTAAATCGCCTGCAATAAGTTTACCTGTAATTAATTCAAATGCAACAATTCCAATTTCTCAAGAACCAGATTATCAAGTTTTTAATAACTATCCATATCAAGATGTAATCGAAGAACAGAATTTTGCCGATATTTCTGATTCTGAGAACTATTTTGAACCAAACAATCTTATTGATGATTTTGAATACCAATTTTTTTTATAAATTTGGATGGCATCATCATTGGTGACAATCCAAAAGTTCATTTATAAAAAAATGCGGTTTTATATTAAATTTATATTTGTTATTAATTTTATTTATTTTATTTTATTTTTTTCTCTCTCCCTATTCTTTAAATTGCATCCTAAGATAAAATGAATGAATTTTATGAGCTTGTTGAATGTATATCGGTGTTTTAATTTTTTCATACTCAAACTCAAAATATTAAACGTACAATTTTAAATGTCTAATCAAAAACAAGAGAAGACTAAGACTCAAAAAAAGCAAAAAGAAGCGAGTTCAACGAAGAAAGAAAGTAATTTATCACTTAATGAAATTCCTGAAAAACTTAAAGTTTATGTGTCTCAAGAGATATGGGATAAATGGAGTCCAATACGCCGTGAATCGTTCACACAAATTATTAAAAATCCAAATGCTTTCTTTTATAGGAATCGCCCTCCTGGTGACCCTCAAAAATATGGTCCTTTCACCAATGAAGAAGAAGCTCAATTTTTGGAAAGGTTAAAATATTTTAGAGATGAATTGAATGTTAATGATGGTCTTTGGGGATTGTTTTCCATACCAATTAGAGGTCGAGTTGGATATCAATGTTCAAATTTTTATCGACTTCTGATTAAAAATAAAAAAGTCGAAGACGATCATTATGAAGTTCAAGAAGACGGTAAATTAAAGTTCCTTCATGGAAATAAATCATCTATATCAGCAGAGGTTATAAAGAAACTAGAAAACGAAGCTTTTTTATTCATTAAGCAATGTCTGCAAACTGAGGATGGTGTCGTTCCAACAGTATCAGAACCAATAATAGTTGGGCCTGAAAATAATTCAAATACCACCCAAACTACAAAACCGTTTAAATGTTCTCGTGCATCAAAAGAAATTATAAAATATTTAGGTCATCAGCGTTCAATACAGCAAAAGAAAAGTATCCAGCAGCCTATTTCTTTAGGAGCCAAAAAATTTTCTTCAGGAGGAACCATTCATTCCTTTTCTGAAGAAAATAATAGATTTATTTGTCCAATATTTGGTGCAATTGATCCATTATCAAATGAGCCGATTGATACACCAATGATGGATTCAAACGGATATGTTATGGACTTAAAATCTTGGAGAAGAGTATTTAGACATAATGAAACTCCTCCTTGCCAAATGGTTGCTAAAGATGAGAGTGACTTGATTGAATTAAATTCAAAGAACTTTAATGAATTCCGTCTTCAGATTTTAAATATTGTTTGCTAAAAAATTAATTGTTTGATGTAAATTAGTTAAACCTATATGTAATTGATTTCTTGTATTTGATCTTCTTTTAAAGAATATGAATATTTAGTATAATTATTAAACAATAATCTTTTTTAAGATTGTTATGATTCTTTTAAACTCTCTTAAATCAATGCATATTGATATTTGAAATTAAGTAAAATAAAGCGATTATATATATTAAAAGTAAAATAAAAAAATCAATTATGGTTGAAAAGTTTATAAAAACAAAATGAATTTATACAGCTGTATTCTTTTTCATCATTTGAGCTTGTTTAATTGTTATATTTTCTGCTTGTCTTCGTCGAGCTTTTTCAATGGTTTCTCTTAAATCGTTTCTTTCATCATCAACTTCCTGGCTTCTTTTTAGTGCTTTTGTTAACATTTGTTGTTCTTCTTTGATTAATCTTTCGAGTGTTTTCGTATGCATGTCGATCTCTTCATTAAAGGCTGCTTCTCTTTCTTCAAGTAATTGCATTTCAATATCCATTTCTTCTCTAGTCAAAAGAGCACTTTCTTCTTTCTTCTGCATAAACTGTTCCCAAGTTAATTTTCTTGAATCAAGTGTCTTTTGCATTTCAACTCTAACACGATCGCATTCATTTTTCCATTCTTTCAAAGCATTTTCTTCCTCGATCTTTCTTTTTTGTATTTGAAGTCTTTTTTGTGCAATTTCTTTACTATCAACAATATTCTCTTCCATTAATTGCTGCTTTTCTTTTCTTCTAAATTCGATCATTTGGTCTGCTTCGATAATCTTTAAAGCTTCTCTTTCTCGTAACCAGTTCTTTCGTTGCTTATCAATTTTTACTTGTTCTCTCTTGATTTCTTCTGCGATCTCAGCTTGCTGTTGGATTGCTTCTGCTTCATCTCGAATTCGTTGTAATTCTTTCTCTCTCCACATTGGCGACTTTTGAATAATTGTCATAATCGGATAAAATCCTTTTGGAAGTGGATGAAAAGAATCTTGATTTGGATTTTGTTTCCAATCTTTTCGATACATTCGTTTAGCTCTTTTAATAAATCTAACAACATTTAATTCATCAATGATTTTAAATGAACTTATGGCATAGCAAGCAACTAAATATTCAATAAATACAGGTCTGGCGCAAATTATATTATCTAAAATCATTAAGCAGGCGTCGGTTGTAGAAACTTCTCCAAAAAAGCTTCTCAAAACTGGCCATGCGACATTTAGAGGAGCTTCACCACCATTGTCGCGTGCAATTCTATCAATTCGTGATAAAATTGTTATAGGTGGATTTGGAACAAAATGAAGCCAGTCATGGCACCAGTTGACTATAACAGTAGCAACTATTTCAAATGTTATCATCGAATCACGTGTGAAAACTTGAAGAAAAGGAAAAACAAGAGCTGGAAGCCAATCACATTCAGCAAGTGGTGGATGCCAATAAGCAAGATTTGATAATAATCGCACAAGACGTTGAGAAATAACTGAAAATTTCATAGGCAAGCGATTAGGAAGAGTTCTGATCCTTGGATTAGTTGGTTGTTTAGCCATGGTCATAAATTGAGCATGATTCATCGGTATCCGAAAGATGTATCGCCATAAAACTTCTCGATGAACTGATGGAAAAACCATATTTTCTTTCAAAATATTAATCAAAGCTGTTTTGTTGGGAATTGTTTTAGCATTTATTTTCTTAGCTAGAACAGCAACTCTATGCGAATCTTCTTCATCAACTGAATAAATTGCTGATCCTTCTCCAAATAAATCCATAAAATTTTCGATTAAAAAAACAATTATTAACGTACTATGATGGAAATTTTTAGATTTTTCAGTTTTTGAATGATGAGTCTTTAATCTGAAAAAAGTACTATTTTGTTAATTAAAAAAATAATATGCACTTCAATATTAATAAATTAGCTATATAGTCATTAAAGCTTTATTAGGACTCTTTTTGGATCAAGAAATCTTGCTCATTCTTTTACAACGCCTTAATAATATGATAATAATCAAATATATTGATAACAAATATATTGATATGTTTACTCTTTTATGAATTTTTCGTTAAATAAAAATAAATAATATGGTTTAGTCATCTCTTGATGGAGATTTTTCTGGATTTCTCCAAATTTCATAGTCTTCTGTCCCTTTGTCTTTTCTATGTATGATTTTCTTGCATTTTACTCTCTGGTTTTCGAGAGAATATGTAGATGCATCTTCTTCACTAAGCTCAATCTTGTGTAAAGGTTTTAATTCATTTTTATCTTTATCGAGTTCATACAATTCAGCTACCGTTAGGACAAATATTTGTCCTTTTGTATTTTGAGCAATTGTTAATGGAGCCTCATTCAA